TTGTTGTGTTTCACTTCACACATTGAAAGGTATTTTCTTCTGTTCGCATCTGTATCTTTTCTAGACTGTGAACAACTTGAGGTGATGGCCCATGTCTTACAGAGCACTGTATTTCCCATGCTTGGTACATAGTGCTCATTTTTTATTTTGTCCAAAATAAAATAATTTTTGATGTTATTACTTTGTTTCTAACCATTATATATATATGTATGTGTGTGTGTGTATAAATAAATAAATAAATAAATAAATAAATAAATAAACAAAAAACAAGGCTTCTTTGCAAAAGCAGAAATCGACAAGCTGATTCTAAAATTCATATGGAAATTCAAATGATCCAGAATAGCCCAATCTTAAAAAAGAACAAAGTTAGAGGACTTATATTTTCTGATTTCAAAACTTACTCCAAAGCTACAGTAATCAAAACAGTGTGGTACAAGCATAAGGATAAACACACAAATCAATGGAATGGAACTGACAATCAGAAAGAAATCCATATATCTATGGTCAATTGATTTTTAGTAAAGGTGCCGAGACTATTCAATGAGGAAAGAAGTCTTTTCAACAAAACATAATGGGACAACTGAATAGCTATCTGCAAGAGAATGAAATTGGACCCTGTCCTCACACCATACACAAAAATTAACTCAAATGTATGTAGACTTAAATGTAAAAGCTAAAATTATAAAATTCTTAGAAAATATAGAAGTAAATCTTAGTAACCTTGGGTTCACAAAGTCTTCTTAGATATGATACTAAAATCACAAGCAACAAAAGAAACAAATAGATAATTTAAGACTTCACCTAAATTAAATATGTTTGTGCTTCAAAGCATACCATCAACAAAGTGAGAAGAACCCAGGAAATAACAGAGAATATTTGCAAATCATACATCAGATAAGAGTCATATTTAGAAAATATAAAGAACTCTTACAACTCAATAATTAAAAGACAAATTTACCCAATTTTAAAAATGGGCAAAGAATCTGAATATACATTTCTCCAAAGAAGATAATACAAATGGCCATAGGTACATAAAAAATGCTCAATATCATTAACCATCAAGAAAATGCAAATAAGAATCACAGTGAGGTACCACTTCACACTTACTAGGATAGCTATAATCATAAAGACAAATAATAGCAAGTGTTGGTAAGGATGAGGAGAAACTGGAACTCTCATATATTGCTGGTGGGAATATAAAATGGTATAGCCACTTTGAAAACAGTCTGGCAGTCCCTCAAAAGATGAAACATAGTTACTATATGACCTAGCAATTCCACTCCTAGTTATACACCCAAGAGAAATGAAAACATGATCACATATAAACTTGTACATTAGTGTTCATAACAGCCAAAAAATGGAAACAATTCAAACATCAATCGAATGATGAATGGGCAAATAAAATGTGGACTATACAGTGAATACTATTAAGCAATAAAAAGAAACAAAGGACTGATATGTGCGACAACATAGATGAACCTTGAAAACATGCTAAGTAAAAGAAGCCAGTCACAAAAGACTACATATTATATGAAATGTCCAGAATAAGTAAATCTACAGAGATAGGAAGTAGATTAGTGGTGCCTAGAGCTGGGAGGTTAGAAGAAAAAGGCAAGTGACTGCTAATGGGTACAGCATTTCTTTGTCTGGTAATGAAAATGTTCTAAAATTGATTGTGATGATGGTTCACATTTTTGTGAATATATAAAAAGCCATTTAATTGTACATTTTAAATGGGTGAATGTGAATCATATATTAGTAATGCTGTTATAAATTAGATACATTCCTTTATTCCTGCTCTTTGATCACACACACGTATACCTGGAAACACAGAGACATACCCCCCCCCACATATATGTGATTCATAGAAGAATCTTAGAATGATAGTATTGAAAAGGACCTTAGAAGTCAGAGAATTCACCCGTCTTTCCTCCCTCTTCATCTCCTAATTTTTTAGATAAGGAACCTGAAGCCAAATTTCACACAGGAATTAATGGAACCCACTAATTCTCACTCATCATATTCCCAGAAGACTCTAAGTGCTTTGGGAATGGATAATGTCCAATTTTTTCTGTATCCTCCATAACACATAGTGCTGTGCTAAGCGCATGGCAGGCACTAAAGACAAGAGTTTAACTGAATAGAACATGCTTCTCAGACATCCCTGAGGAAAAACAAGGTGACTCTATGAGAAGGTGCAGGGATGAAGAAAGAGCAAAAGGTCAAATCTAGCCCATCTCATCATACTTTTAAGGATAGAATCAAAGAACCTCAGAGCTGGAAGAGGAGAGAGAAAACATTTATATAGAACTAACATAGTGGGCATCATGTTGTAATATTTATTATAGCAGAAGTAACTGTGGCCCAGTGGTGTGCCCAAGGTCATCAGGTTGGTGAGGTCAGAGGCAGGGCCCACCCCTGCGTGTTTTGATGTCCAACCCCACCATCCTCCTTGATCTCACCTTTCAATCCCATCTGACTACCGAGGACCGTGGCTTGGAATGTCTGGGTCTTGTTCCTGTCTGGACCATCTCCAAAGTTCAAGGTGGTCAGCAAGCCCACGATATGAGACCCATGCCACTTCCCTGTAACTGTCCCAGTCACGGGACACAGGGTCAGCTGGCCAAAAGATCTCAAGAAGGAGACCCAGTCCTGTGTGCAAAAAGGAAGGTAGGAGAGAAGTGAGAAATTAGCATCAAGAGCAGGCCTTCATGGGAAGGATGAGCAGGAGGGTACTCACCTGTGGGATGTCAGGGCTGCGTAGGCCAGTCCTGTGAGTGAGGAGGAAGCCACCAAGGCCCAGGCCTGAAAGGCCAAGAAGCAGCAAGATCAAAGTAGCACAGACCAGAGGTGGGTGATGGGCCAGACAGAGATGCAGGTTGTGCCCTGCCTGGCAGCTGCCCATGGGGAGCAGAGGGGTCTGGGCCTCCACGGAGAGCCTGCTGGAAGACAGGAAGGGAGAACTGGACAAGGGCCTGTCAGTCAGAAAGCATTTACCCATTTTATTCAAAAGGAAGCTAAAGCATCAAGAAGACAAGGGACTTGCCCAAGCCCACAGTTAGTTAGTGGCAGAGCCAGGACAAGAATCCGAGTGTATTGACTTCCAGTGCTCATCTCCCTGCACCACTCAGATGTTTGCTGCATTTCATTTCTGAAGCAATCAAGGCGGAAGCAGAGCAGAGCATGGTGTGCTGGAAAAAGGAACTTGAAAGGGAGAATTCTCAAGGGTAGAGAAATTCAGGAAACAGCTGTTCTGGGGCTAGAGTTTGGCTGAAGAACAGTTCCAGCCAATAGCCCAAAGGGAGTGTCTGACAAAAAAAAAAAAAATCCACTTTGAAGTACTCAATTTAAATCCTCCTCTGCTACTCACTGGCTATGCAAGAAAAAGTCACTTTGTGAGTTTAAGAATCTGTGAAAGGGGCATTCTAAGAACACCATGGAATGAGGGCTAAACGTGGCAGTTTGCATAATACTTGGCCTTGCAGAAACTCAACAAATGTCCATTCCCTATTTTTCTGAGTCATATTGATCTTCAAAACCAAGTGAGGCGAGGTAAAAATACTGT